ACAACACAGCTCGTTCTCGTGAGCAGCTGAAACACAAACCCTAAACCCTAAACCCTAAACCCTAAACCCTTGACAAATAGAAACAATAAACAACACAAAAACCCTAAACAGAGATAAAACCTAAACCACCCGGAACCCTCAACCGCTCTAAACCCTAAACAACTGTAAACCCTAAATAGACATAAACCCTAAACAACTGTAAACCCTAAACCGAGATAAACCCTAAACCCTAAACCCTAAACCCTAAACCCTAGACATACACAGAAGACGTCACACCTTGACTACTCTCCCCTGCACACGCAACCCCCTGTTAGAAGGTTATTAGGGTTTAGGGTTTAGGGTTTAGGGTTTAGGGTTTAGGGTTTATAAACCCTCTTACATATGGAGAGGCTTTGTATCAGTGCTGTGTCGGGTTCTGTTCCTCCGGCCTCTGCACCACACCAAACCCTAAACCCTAAACCCTAAACCCCAAACCCTAAACCCTAAACCCTAAACCCTAAGCCCCAAACCCTAAACCCTNAAACCCTAAACCCTAAACCCCAAACCCTAAACCCTAAACCCTAAACCCTAAGCCCCAAACCCTAAACCCTAAACCCTAAACCCTAACCCCTAAACCCCACAACAGCAACAAAACAGCACCAACAGAACAACACCAAAACAACAACAAGGAAAACACGCTAAACCCTAAACCCTAAACCCTACAACAATAAGAAGAAAAACAACAAACAAAAAGCGGCAGCAACAGCAGCAACAAATTATATTTTTTTCTCGGTTGGGGTGTATAGGCAGCTCTCACCGTCAGGAGCGCCCGGCACCCCCTCCGCGGGGATAGAATAAAACAGCACTTGCACTGTCCCCTTCTGCAGCGCTGCAGGCCCCACAGCAGCAGCAGCAGCAGCAACAGCAGCAGCAGCAACAGCAGCAGCAGCAGCAGCAGCAGCAGCGACGGTAGCAGCAGCAGCAGAAGCAGCAGCTAACGGGATTACTCAGACCAGCAGTGGTGACAGGGGCGGTAAATTTAAGCTGCAGCAGCAGGAATAGCGACATCAGCAGCAGCAGAAGCAGCAGCAGCAGCAGCAGCAGCAGGAACAGCAGCAGCAGCAGCAGCAGCAGTAGGGTGCTCGGGGGACAGACCCGGACAGGCGACGGCAAGTGTTTGTCTGTGTGTTTGTTGTGTTGTTGTTTCTGGTGTTCTTGCTGCAGCAGCAGCAGCTGTTGCTGCTGCTGCTGCTGCTGCTGCTGCTGCAGTTGTTGCTGCTGCTGCTTCTCCTGCTGCTGCAGCAACACACAGGCCAGAGGGGTTCGGCGACGTCACCAACGTGTCTATCAGGCTGAGCCCCCGCAGCAGATAGATACAAACCTTCTGCTCCAGCACCACCAGCAACCTAAACACACAAACCCTAAACCCTAAACCCTAAACCCTAAACTCTAAACCCTAAACCACAACCTGCGCATACATACAATAAACCCTAGAGAGCGAAAGGCACACACAAACCCTAAACCCTAAACTCCAATGCGCACGCAGAAACCCTAAACCCTAAACCCTAAA